TACGGGAAACCGTTCTGCAGGAAACCAGTCGATAATCGAATAGCTGCACACGAATACGCTTCAGTTCATTTACCGGATACTTTTCTGTAAGAATGGGTGCATCTAAACAAATAGTACCTCTAGGATTCATACCAAATTACCAATTACTACGCAAACCAACGGAAACAAAATTAAAATTGCGCAGGATGAGCTAGAGAGATATCTTGCTACCTGGATGAATCCATAGCATGTCCCGTGTCCGAAACTAAAGAACGGAGTAAAGTGACTCTCTTCCAGAGAGCCCATGGGCTCTCCCGGACACACTGCTTCAGCGATGTCTCTGCTCGCACTTCTTTAAAAGTTTCTTATGGAGGGAAGCCAGCGAGGACCCAATTCTACGAGAGACCTGCTATGGAAAGTAAATCAACACCCATGGTCACCAAACTCCCGGTCACAACTCCCCGAAATGTATTTGATAAAGTAGCAATTACACTCTTTCTCCGTGCTGAAAAGACGCAAATGACACCTCTGTTGTTGGGAGAGTTACTGCACCCCATCTGCATGCCAGAGGGATACTGTAGTGAACTCTGATAGGGGAGTAAAAAAAACTGAGGGAGTGTTTAGTGTGCATCAAATCCCCCCCCCCCCCCCCTTTTAAATTCGACTCTCTGTATGTCTTTCATTTTCTTGTTTTATCAAGGACAGATGTATAATTAACCACGGAGAGGAGTCGATGTTCAAGCAGTCAGTGTTGCCAGTCATGACACGCAGGAGACGAAACCAACCAGATAGTGCTTTCGTAAGAAGCTGTCAGGGACCTTGCTGGAGACGAGGCCCTTACCGAGCCAAAATGAAAACGAGCGAAGTTATAATCCTTGTCACATAAAAAAAAAAAAAAAAAAAAAAGTTTCGCGCATTCTTTATGCGCTGTAAAAGGTAGTTCTCGCAAGACTTGGTTGTCGGAAGAACAAACAATGCCTTGGGGTGTGAAGCACTTGTACGTCTTGATAAACTAATGGAACGACCAACCTAAAACGCACTCACATACATCTAAATCCACCCCACACAGGAGTAAAGTTTCTCCGCAAAAAGTGAGACTTTTCTCTTTTTTTTTCTGTAGTTCTTTAGGCGAATTCAAGTATAGTTGTAACTCTATAGCTGCACATCTGCGTGTTGAGTACCCATCCCTTTTGAGCGTGACCTTAAACTGGTCTTCCTTTCCTTCTTTTTTTTTTTTTTCTCGCAATAAGTAAACGGTCTGAACGTGTGGGCATTTATGCTGTATCTTCGTCGCAAAGACACCCACGCCGATTGTGAAAAAACATCCAGCAAGTCAAAAATTCTTCGAGTAAAAGCATTTAATAAAAAGCAAAAAAAAAAAAAAAAAAAACTTTTCGCGATGCCACGACTCGGAATAATGCGCGACGCCGGAGGATTAGAGACCTTGGAAAGGGAGTTCGACGGCTCTGCCAAGAAAACAAAAACCAAGAATCTAAAAATAACAAAAAAACTCGGGTTATAAATCAAAATGGTAGGAGGAACGAACGTCTTCTGCCGCAAATAAGCTGTATATCCGCTTTATTCAATGGGTGGCCTGACGAAGCTGGATGCAATTGTGTAACACGCAATCGCAGTTTTCTTATTTTTTTGCCCCCCTCCGAAGTTTTTTTTACATGACCAAATAGTTACCGTCGATACCTACGTATCCGTTCAGACAAGACACAAAAGGATAATCGAAACGGGATCTCCCGAAAAAGAAAGTTGGATTTTCGGTGCTTTCTTCTTCTCGTTGCGTAAGACCCCAGTTCATGTCGCCGATGAAACGTGTTCGCACTAACTGCGCCACGGAATGCAAATCCCTGCTCATCAACATCAACTCATCAACTGACAGCCGAAAGCATACATATATATATATATATATATACACACCTAAACAAAAGATCGCACAGTATTAGGGCGCGCGTACCAAACATATAAGGAGTATTCACTGGGCGCCATATTTGTGGGTGCTGTCTAGAGCGCATGCTCAAAACGAAGCCCCATTAATAGGCTGCTAAGACCGGCCATTTTGACGGTGTGGAATGCACGTTGCAAAAGAACCCTGGAAGCTAGCTATCAGCACGCGCTCAGCAGTCGCGCACACAGCCATGGCCGCCAGTGAATACTTCCTATAGTGTCGAAAGGATATCGCGCCGCGACGTGTAAGCGTTTGTTTCGATACGCACTCTTGGTGCCACGCGGGAAACCCTTTGTTTTTGTTTCGTTTTTCGTGTGCCACAGTTACGACGCGAGCGTGTCACGAAATGAGCGACGTTATTTGCTCGCCGTATACAGAGAGGCGTTCGGTCGGACAATATTTGAAACTGTCGCGATAAGTGCAACACCGAAGACGGAAGGCGCGCGTTCACACACGGTCCGGCCTCGATGATGCTTTGTCGGTGCGGCGCTTCGTCGAGCGAACGTGATGGTCACGGTTCGGTGCAACTATGCCGGCATCCTATCAACACACACCGGCGTTAAGTGAATGTAAACGCACACCCGAGAGCTTATTCGTCCATTCATTTCAGCTGTATGCCACGAGGCATCCGCACCTGGAAGAACAACCTTCCCGAATCCATAGTCACCATTACTAACCATTACTAGAGAGTTTTAGTAGATCGTTCCGATACCCCCGATAGCCCCGATAACGATACTATGCATGCGCAAGGGAGGCGGTGGCGAAGTATCGGGATATCGTTATCGGAGTCATGGGAACGATCTACTAAAACTCTCTATTGACACCTATTTTTCGTGAAAAAGCCTATATTTTTTTCTTCCTCTATCATATATTTAATAACGTATTCGTCGTGTATAATCCGGCTGACTTTTATGCGTAAAATTGAGCGGCACCTGTACATTTGTTTTGTGTATTATTATTTGTTCCGTTTTTGTTTTTTTAAATATATTTATCTGTTCAAATGCTTCCGCTTACGCAGTGCTCCTAATGAGCCTGTAACGTATTTTGAATAAATAAATACTTCTTTCGCCGTGTGTGGTTGCAAGAATTCTGACAACGCTATGAGGCGGTCATTTCTCGCGGTATACTGCGTTAATTTTAATCTCGGAAATTACTGGGAAAAAAAACCTTCAGTCTAGTTTTACGCAGATCTGAAGTGTTCCTGGTGTGCCCGGTAGACGACGCCACGCAACCAGTGTATTCTCTCGTCGCAAATATTGCGTAAGACGAGTCCTTTAAATGGAACAGGAAGGATAATCGAAGGTGACCGAAAGGAAACATTACAGAAACCCGAAGAATGCTCGGGCGGCGGGTCTTTTGCCGAAAGATTGGGCTTATTCGTGGTTTTGTTTAATGCGATTTCCGATTTTTGTTTTGTTTTGGTTGTTTGAGTGCTTTTAAACGTATGACGTCGCGCTCCACTGGGAAGGAATATATATTATGCTGCTGGTATCTCTCCCTCCCCTCCTCCCTTCAAATTTTGAAATCGCCCCACGAAACATTATCATCGTTAAGATGTCCCATAAACAGGAAGCTATATACATGAAATGCGTTCTACGGCGGAGTTAGACAAGCAATTGTCTTTCCAATAAACCTCCCTTTTCTTCTTTTTTTAATGGGCGAGTGTTTAATAAAAGTGAATCATAATTAGACCGATGATTTCACACTATGTATTGTTGGTGGTAACAGAAAGAAAATAGTCATCAGCAAAAGCAAAAAAAGAAAGAAAAAAAAGCAAGTTAGGCGTGAGTAGTGTTTAGGCAGATAACGGCCTGTCTGTTTATGAGAACTCGGACCAAATTAATCCACGCTGTAAACCGGAAAAAAAGAAAAAAAAAAAAGAAAACAGTATACGCATTGGCGGCGACTCAAACCATGTGCTCACAATATTACAAAGAAATATTGTATTTTCACCATACAAATCGTTTGTGTCGTTAATTTCTCGCGATTATATAATCAAATAAATGCTAGAAGTGGTCTATGAAAATGGTCATGCTAGTCTGATAATAATCACCCACTAAGTTGAAAAAAATACAGCTAGAAAAATACAAAAAAAAATTGTATTGAGTTAACGGGATGATTTCTCGATTGATATGCACTTTGTTGTGACGTGACGAAATGGCATGAGCTAAAAATAACCTATGATTCAAGAGCATCACGAAGGAATAAACCAGGGTCCCAATCAGGATCTATTCCACACTATAGAAATCACCAGATATGACATTATAATTGACGAAATCGAAACCAACATGTTCAAAAGCTCGAGAGTTCTTTGCAATTTAAGGTTTTCACTCACACATATGAAGTTTGTTTTCGTATTCCGGGAGCATCTCGTAGCAAAGGGGCAGTGGGAAATAAGACATAAAAAATATCGAAACTAACGCCTAGCCCATGGCACCGACGTCATTCCCGAACAAGAACCGCCATCTACAAATTTTGGTGCTAGAATATACATAAAATAGCTTTCAATTAGGCACTGGTTTCCAGTGTATGTATAAGCTCTAGTTTTAAATAATCAGGTTAGCCCTAACAAGAGCACCAAACTATACCGAAAATGAGTTTTAACCTTAATCTGTATCAAACGGCAATGCATTCAATTTACACGTTTGGCGCAAACGGTGCAAGAAGGTCGTTTCCGTAGTTAGCACACATTCAAACCTAACCCCAACAAAATATACAACGCGAAACATTCATTACGTGCGCCTTGCAACAAACTATTTCTGCACACTTCTAACGCTCGCTTTCTGCTGAAGCCAACCGTGACAAAGTGAAGACGTCTTTAAGACGTCCTTAATCGAGCGTAAACCTCATCTTAGCGGAAACAAAACCAGAAGGGTTGAGAGAATTTTTTTCCCAACAAAGGCGCTTGCGCCGATGTGATGGAAAGGAAGTAAAGAGCAATAAAAAAAAATCCTGACCGCCGGACGTAGTAGAACGCAGACTGCCTGGCCAACCCACGGACAGAAACCGGTCCAACGACATGGGCACCACGCAACTAATCATAAAATCGTCTGCATGCACTCACGGTTCTCCGACAGGTGCAGCCCAGGGAGCCGCTGGAACCGAAGAAGGTTTCCGAAGAACCGAAAATCCAACCGTTCCTCGTACCGTCGTCGAAAGTGTGCGGACGCAATTCGGTTCCGTTGAACCGCACACCGGTAGCGGGCGACCCAACTTCCGAGAGAGCAGACGGAAACTTTCTCGCTAGCAGACGACGGCGACCAACTGTGCGCACACACCGCTCGTATCCGTTGCAGACGACGCTGTCGATTGGCCGACGACCCGTGAAGTTGTCGGTAGTCTCCCTTTTTATCTTATGGCACTCGGGTCGAATCCACGGTGACGAGACGAGTCGGCAACGGAGCTCGCGAGACGCGCTCTAAGCTCGGCGCAAACATGCCGACGAGTGAGTGGTTTGCTCTTCGACGACCGCCGCTGCTCAGAGCGGCGCAGCCGCCCCCAGTGCAAATACTCGGCGTATGAGGTCGCTGCACGCCGCCATTTTTGTTGTTGTTTTACTTTCCTTGAGCGCGCTCTCTCTCTACTCTGCCGCTTATTTCCCTTGCTACCTGCTCAGGTAAGCGAAGAGGGCACGGTCAACCGGTTTCGACACAACATGGCGCCTTTTACACGAGACCAATGGCGTGTCCGCGTTTAGTTTCGGTTCCGGTTTTAACGGTTCTCCTGATTGGCTGGAATGAACAGGTGTCTGACGGAAGCCATCTTTGAACACGAGCCCGCTTCAAAATGATCCATGCGCACGGTTTGCGCCGGGTCTGCGGCGACGCAATACTCTCGATTCTTAGTTGAAAATTATGCGAATTCAGCTATATAAGGAAACAAGCTATATAATCATTTCAGAATATGCATATTTTATTGTGACACTAGTGGCGCGCTTACGCTGCGTTATCCTGCGGCTGGCGCGAAAGGCGCGTTGCCTGGCGGTACGTGCAATCCCTTTCCATTTCTAGCTCCAGGGGAGGATGAGATTATTGTGGGTTATTGTCCTAAGAGCAGCAGGATATTTGCGGGGGATTGTTTAAGGAAAAAATTTTCTTTCGTAGTTTGTTTGTTTGTTTTTTTTCTTGGGGGAGAGGGGGGGGGGGGGGTTCACGCTTGGCGAAGCACGCAGCAAGTTGTCCGCAAAGCGCCGTAGTTCGGGTGGGGAGGGCGTATTTCAATCGACATGCTCGCAACTGCGTGTAAAAATCGTCTGACGACTAACCTTCCCAAGCGAGAGCTCCTTTTTTCTTTTTACGTTTCTAGCTTATGCATGGACGAACGTCGTGTGGTTTATCGCGGTCTGCGTGCGTCGGCGCCGCCCTGCAGATTTTTTCTTCGCAAGGAATATTTGCTACAGCTCGCAATAAAAGTTTTCAAAAATGTGAATACGGGCAAGGTCCTCTACGTGTGAATGCGCACGTGTGCGTGTGCATGTATGTGTGTGTGCGTGCGTGCGGAACGGAGCTGAACCGCGCACGTTGTCCTTTCATTCTTTCGTATCTTGCGATCTGATCTCGCTTTTAGTGAGGTTTATTCCCGCATACTCATTCATTTCACTTGATGTCACGCACACGGTTCTCCCCAAACTTGACGCCACCACAAGATGGTTTGATTTTTGCGCATTTTTGTGCTATATCCGTAACAGTCGAATAACCAGGTGAAGTATTGACTTCACGATCACAATTTCCAGCCCGGGGGAGACATTCCAGCTGCTGTGTGAGCAGTTTAGTTTTGAATAGCCGGCAATAAAAAATAGGATATAGGTAACCGAGCGGCGCCTTAAAAGGCCCATGAAATTATTTTTCAAATCTTTCTCCTTAGCTTTAATCTTCAACTCAAAAGCGAAATGAAAAACCACTTGGTCGTGGCGTAGTATTTCACCAAATGCGACGACTCCAAGCTTCCAACGTGTTTTTGCACACCATGAAAAAAAAAATGGTTGTGGGTATGTTTACGCAGTCCTGAGGTTAGTCTGCCTTCAACGAGTGACTTGTCTCTCAGCTGTAGATGAGCAATATATCCAGTGCAGTAGAACCGCTAGCCTGGGGTCTTTGACGTGCACCACGCAGTACTGATACACGACCGCAAGCAGGTACGATGCTCATCTAGATCGAAACGGGCGGGGCTGGGGAAGCACACCATGGAACTTGTCATTCGCAAGTGATGATAAGTGCCGTCACGGCAAGCATTGGCCATGAGCGCCAATCCAAATATTCGTCGACTGATTCACCGCCGAGTGACACCAGTGCTCGTGTCCAGCGCCCGAGCTGGGGTCGGCTGACGCGTTCCTCGGGTACCGCGGATGTATCGCAACGAAAAGGCGGAGGGCTTTCAGAGAAAAGGAGGAACGAAATAGTCCGCAATATTTTCGAATTTGCTTTCGACTTTCTACCTTCTTTAATTTTGGCCCACTAAAGGATATGCGACTAGTAAAATCCTAATCTAAAATCATTTATACCAGCCCAGAATTCATTTCATGGCCCCTTTAGGTTTGAGAAGCACTGTACCTTAGAGGGTGGCCTCATCTTCTGTAATTTCGGTGGGCTGAAACTCACTAAGTCTCTGTCGAAATTTGGAAAAGAAAAAAAAGTGCACAAAACACGTCTTGTTTGTTTATTTGTTCGTTCGTTTGTTTGTTTGTGTATGACTTTGGTAGAGTTGTAGATGGTCACTCGGACTATCGACTCTCCGAGTCATCGATAGTCAGAGTGACCACACTCTAAGAAATAAAGGGTGTATAGGGGTGCACCCCTTGTCCCCTATGTAACTCCCCAAAACAACAATTCGACGTTCAGTTCACAGGCGTCAAACCGACGATGCAAACTTTTAAGAGTGGCTCGATAGTCGACCGATACAACTTTGTAAAATAGCTAATGTACTCGCTAAAGGCTACAGGAAGATAATCAAGGTTTTTTTTTAGCCCTGCTGCAAAACCTCAGTGTTTATTTTTCTTTTCTAGTCTTTGATACGCACATTATCTATTTAATACGTTATATCCAACAGCTATCAAGCCGCTCGTGAAAGCTTGTATTGCCAGCTCGAAGTCAGTGGACTGGACGTCCAAATGTAGTTTTGGGGTGTTACATACGGAACAAGGGGTGTTCTCCTATACACCCCGTATTTTTAAGAGTGTATCGATAATAATCTGACTTTTACCGCCATTGGTGCTCAACGAGAAGGCGCCACACCTGACAAACTATTTAGCATGATAATTTGCCTAAAAAAAAAGTGCACACGCTAAATATCAAGTTAACAGTTCATATCCCAAGTAATGATGCTACTGTTCTCAAAAAGCTAATGCTCTCACGCCGTTTTGTTGGAGCGTCTTCGAATACAACTATTGTTTTGACTGTGACAACAAGCATCCACGTAATTTACTTCTAAGATATGTCAATTACAGGCTTATTTCTTTTTTTCTCCCTCTCTCTCTTTAATAGAGAGGGAATTGTGGAATTTGACTTTTAGGACAGGTAATATTAGAAGCCATAGACGTGTCTACAGGTCAATGAAGACGACAGCTCTTTGACGCCCCGCACGCCGGTCTGGATGAGCATCGTACCGGCGTGCCGTCGGGTATCACTAGTGCGTGATGCACGCTAAGGACCCCAGGCTAGCAGTTGTATTGCGCCGTCTAAAGTTCTCATATACAGTGGGTAACAATGTCGCCATGTTCAGGCGGACTAACCTCCCGCTGTATGAACAACTTAATCATTGTGAACCGTAAAACTAGGACAGCGTCAAAAACCTAAAATCATGATAGTTAAAGCAGCTTGTCATACGACGACAGTAAGCTTGTAAGCTAATGTTACGTTACAGCTCAAGAGAGCATATATTAAGTTACGTCATTACCTCATCAAAAAGCCTCCCATACGAAAGTCTAAAATATTACCCCCCCCCCCCGGCCCCCCCCCCCCCCCCCCCCACACACACACACACACTACACCAGGTTGAAGTTTCGCATTCGAAATGAGTGACTTAACATGTCTTACTTTCAGCAAATATTAATTGTGAGCTCCTATGGCAAATATCTTTGCTCGCGTCGTTAAGCGTCTTCAGCGACGGCTGATCAACTAAATGAAGAAATGGGACGAGACTGCCGTGACTCTATTTGTTATTTATTTAACCTATTTTAATATCACAATTTTTATTGGCGCATAAATCTTATACTATCTCAAGCTTCATCTGCCCACGCAGGCTCCCCAAATCTGAACGACCACCAATGGCGCTCAATATTTAGTGCACCAGTTGATATTTTTTTTTATTTTGTTTTATCCTGGTAAAGGGGTAGTTTTGCGTTGCCTGCATATATAGTCCCCGATTTACCTGAACATATGCTACACGCACCAACAAGCATCGCTGAAAAAGTAGCCCAAATATCGGGCCAAAATAATTTTTTTTCACGAAGTTATTGAATTTACAATTTTGGTCATCACCATGTTTTTCAAAGTGAAAGTCTCCACTGGAAACAATAAAAGAGTGACGTCAGAGGAAGCTTCACTCTTTGGACGGAAGACTTTGTTCCCAACTGATTACAAGCCGTTTTATTGAGTCAAATGAATGCTTTGGGGACTAATTGCTCCAGCACCCGCGCAGCTGCACGGAACAAATGCTCGACATAGTCCATTTGTGGACTGCACGCTCGACCTGCAAGCCTGCCTTCCCCCGACGTCACGGCACCGAAAAGTGAGGGCATTTTTGAATGTTGGTTTTGGCATCACTTTCACTTGCCGATTTCGCATTAACTATGCTCAATTTTGCGGCACAAAGTAGCATACCGGAAAGGGTAAATGCCGGTGGTTCCGAACATATGATTGGTTTGGGTAGCTCAAAAGTGCGTGGAAGTGCATGGAAATAATGTTCGCCTCATTCAATCCTTCAAATGTTTTACTTTTTTATTTTTTATTGACAACGGCCTTCTTTGCTCTCACACAGCCAACTTGCTGGGACATTCCGTAGAATCAAAAGTTTTCAAGGAAATATCAAAGAATTGATTTGCGTTTTATTTTTCCCAGGCAATTACAGCCCTCTAAAACATTGCGATTTTTTGTCAAGAAAAGGGGAAATTGTAGAGCCGTGGAATAAGAATTATACCCGTTCAAAAGTTTAGTTACTGCTTAATGGCATTTTATGACTGTCATCCGAAATATTCCAGGGGAACATAGCGATGTTTGTTGTTGTTCAGTTGAAATTATCATTTTAGTGCATTTAGCGAGGCGTTGATGTCTAAGAAAGTTGGGGATGCTACTTCGGAGAAAAACTGACTCTAAGAAAATTTACACCTTAAAGCTGTAAAAACGCAGTTCTATAGATTTACACCCACGGCTAAACACTTTGATCACCCTTATTTTGACTTGCTACACTCTTTTCAATAATAAATTAAAGCGATGTTACCTTGAACACTCGTAAATGGTGCTTGGAGTGTACTTTTCCGTGACCAG